AAGACCGGCTGCGACGGTACACACCTGCTTACCCCGCATTAACACCGCCGTTATCTTACATGCCTTGTGCATTGTCAGCTTGCTGCACTCACAACGTTAATTCTAACTGCCACACTGCACTTAGAGTAGAATTATTGCCACTAAAGGAGTCTCTTAGTGTAGATTTAAACATTTGCATTATGATACCTTTTAAGTAATTATTAAAATACTCCGTGACAGTAAATGCATATGTTTCATAAGATTTTTTAATACATAATGCTCTGTTATTTTTGTAATTATAACAATATTTAAATCTCTTATTTATTTACACAAATGATAAAATATTAATAAAGCTTGTAAAATCGTTGTTCGAAGGACCTTTATTTTTTTTCATTCATAAAGAAAGTATTTATATTCAACTTGCACATTCCGGGAATCTTTGAAGTGCGTTTCCAATTATTATTTACCTGTTACGCACAGGTTTTAATATTGAAAATTGTAGCAAATGTCTTAGGTTTATTACAAATCCATTATAGTAATGTATTACTACAAAGTAAGCATTAATTCATGTATCATTTGTTCTGGTTTCTTCGCCCCATTTGCTCGTTAGCACGCTCGGGTACGCACATCATTAAGGGCTGTCACACCCATTTTTAATATGATCAAAATATAGTTGAAATCATAAACCTAAGGCAGTAATAGTTTAACAAAATAATACTAAAAACAAATATACGTTTTTACATTGTAAGAACAATAATTTAAAAAATCTGTATTACTAACTTTTTTCTACAACAATTAATCTCTCCATCGTCCTTACTATCGTTAAAGTATTATTTTATGCAACTACGTCTATATATGTCATACATATATTTTTGCACTAAAATATGGTATGTAATAAATACCCGAGTTTTAAAAGAAACTAGATTTCGTTTGCGACTCTGTCTGCGGGTATAAAGAAAACACAAATACTTCTGTTATTGTTGTTGCTTACAGCCTATATGTTCTTCCAGACTGTTCTACATTTTTGTCAACTTTCAAAGACAACCGTTTAACCATTTACGGGGTAAACTGTAATAAACAAACATACATCCAACTATACTATTGCATTATATTAGTTAGAAGTAAGATTGTGCCAACCCTACGCACCGTTAACGGTAATCCACATACAAATGCTCTTTAAAATTCAATTACAATTTAATTTATGCTTTCATCATTAACTAAATTGATTACAGAAAAAAGGCATAAATAATTTTTCCATGTAAACTTTTTTACTGATAGCAATGCACTGTCTTACTATTACTACATGCGAAAGTATAGATGGATGGATGTTTTTACTACTTATCCAAAACAACTAAACGGATCTTATAGAATTGGCTTAACATAGAACATAGTCTGGAAGAACACAGGCTACTAAGTTTGTTATTTAATACCGTGCAAGCGGAGTCGCGGTCGACTGTTAGTATTTTAAGATGTTAGGTAATAACTTTATCTTGTGCCCATGTAAATAAAATAATTCAAATACGCTGTATACATGAATATCAATGTATCTGCAAACTAAATTGTTTTACTTGTTTATTTGCATTAATATTACCTAGTAAAGGTTTTTGTAACAGCACTATTTTCTCTAACATATTGCTTTACTTTTTTAACCTTTTTTGCTTTTAGAAATAGGTAGATTTAGACGTTTAATTTTTATCAAAATTCATCGGCTCATGAAATGTGTTTTGTCTGGTTTGTGGTATTGATTCAAATATTTTCTCTAATCAATGTGTACATTTTTAGTTTTTGTAAATAATGTGTTATTAATATCTTGCCTAACGTATTGTTTTAATCAAATCCTACTTAACCGATTTATTAATTGTAACAGTGTACAGTAACCATTTAATTTTGTATTTTCATTCTATGTTATGAATCACATTTTCGAATCATTTCGTGCAACCCAATTCGCTCCGATTGCAACTTTCACTCGTGCACTTTTAAGTGAAAGCGTTTATTACGAACTCTTTCGATATCGTAACCAACTGCTACTGTAACAAAAACTGATAATTTACAGGGAAAATAAACCTAACCAAGACGAATGGGAAGAGAAAGATAAACCGAGAGAGAATAGACGCGAAAATCGCGGCGATAGACGTGATAATTGGGGAGATAAGAAAGAGAACTGGAATCAAAAGAGAGAGTTTAGAGACAACAGGTCTGAGAGAGGAGAGAGAACTAGGAGCAATTTCACGCCGAGAGACCGAGCTGAAAGAAGCGATAGATATGGATCCGATACTGATAAAAAATCCGATAAGAGTTTTCGTTCGCAAGACAGTAATAAGGGAGATCGCGCTGGACGCGCCCCGCCGTACAAGAGTAGAAGCAAATTCACACAAGTTCAGTACAAGGAGCTCCCAGATCCAGTTACCCTAGACACGCTATATGCTGAACAAACTATAGAAGCGAACGCTCAACATGAGGTCTCGGTAACATGGATCATATCGCCGGAGAATTTTTATACTCAAATACTGTCGTTGCAGCCGAAGTTTCTTGAAATGATGCACTCGATACCTGAACTATACAAAGGCGTTAAATCGTACACTGGGATAGTGCCTGTAGGAGCGTCGGTCTTAGCTCGTTACCCCGCAGATGGTGTCCTCTACCGGGCCACTGTGGTATCCGTCCAGCCTTTCTCTAAATTCATAGTTAGATACGTCGATTTTGGTAATAAGCAATTAGTCGACGCGAAAGACATTTGGCAGCTAGACAAGCAATTGCTAGAATTACCTAAAATGGCAGTTCATTGCTCTCTGGTCGGTGTATCACCGAAAGATGGTGAATGGAAAGCGGACCCGGAGATAGACCTGTGTTTCAATGCGCCGCGATATCAATGCGTGTTCCAAGAGAATATGGACGGCCAATATAAGGTGTCGCTGTGGAACAATGGCGTCAGCGTCGCTGATACACTGGTGGAGAAGCAGCTTGCTATCCTGTCTGAACATCAGTCTTCTGTTACATTGAAAGGTATGTCAAACAGGTATTTCATACTATGTATAACTTCATTCAATATACCCCTTGGTGGAATTAAAAAATGGTAAAACATAGCCTGTGTGATTCACTGATAACGTAGCTTATTAATGGTAAATGAATTTTTGAAATTGGCCTAGAAGTTTTAAAGTTACATCGATACATAAAAAATCAAAAAATACAAATCTTTCCTCTTTATAATATTATAATAGATTTTCAAAATTTAACTTATATAGACCTTTCGAGTCTTTATATTTATTTATTTTTATTTTCACACTACAGACGATGATGGCGCTGAATATATGGTTTCTGAGTCCCAAATATGCAGAGGTTGGAATTCCAATTGGGATTATTATTTTATAATGTTTGTGTGTGTTTTGTTTTTGTATGATTTTTCGGTCCTATCGCATGACGCTTTGAATAAAAGCCATTCAAATTCTTGAATTACTCTTATGATATGCTTTTATCTCTTCCTTATTTCTATCTAAAATGTGTTAATGACTCGCTAGCTTGGTTTTTGTATGTTTGTGGTTTGTCTATGGTTGAAGTAAAAAGATAAAGAAGCTAAAAGTCGTATCTCCATTTCAACGCTATGTCGTAATGAGTTCATCATTTTCAAACTGTAATTCTATTTAAATCCACATCAACCACTGACATTTTATCCCTTTCATGGTATATACATATTTCGTTATATTTTTAAACAGTCCTAAAATCTTCAAAGAAATCGTTCCATACAAGATGTACTACGAAATTTTTGTAGCTATTTTCAGACACATTTGAAGTATCCATCGCCTATTTCAGACGAAGCTATCGACCTGACGATCATCATAGGTCAGCAGATCCTCTGCCGCGTGACGCATGTGGAATCCTTGGACAAGTTCTACGTCCAACTCGACCTGGACAAGGCGGACTTGGTGGAGAGCGCCATTGCCAACTTTGATGTCAATAAAGTAAGTATATCATATTTGGAAGGTAATTGGTTTACATTCCAATTTGGAATTAAAACAGGATAAAACCAAACAAATATTTCTCACACTAGATTTAAAAAGTGACATAAATTAACCTAATATTCTAAAGAAGAAAATTTTGTATTTTTGGTATGTATTGAAATAACTCCAAAACTACTGGACCAAATTCAAAAATTCTTTCATCATTATAAAGCTATCTTATTAGTAAAATAGGCTATATTTTTTAATTTCACGCGGGCGAAGTCGCGAGTAAGTAATAATGTGAAATCTATATTTTTTCCATTTCCAGCTGACTCCTTTAGGCGCGGACAGTCTCGCGGAAGGTATCCATTGCACCGTCCGACACGAGGAGAAGATATACCGCGCGATACTCAACGACGTGTCCGACACTAACAATATAAAGGCGGTGTTGCCAGACTACGGACATTCTATTACTACCTCATTACAAAATGTAAGTACATATAATATAATTATGAATTAATCTCATTTCTCTTTTAAATAAATATATACATACCGTGAACAACAGATAAAAAAAAAAAACAATTAAATTAACATGGTTATTATATAAATGCGATAGTGAACCTACCTAGGGTCCGTTCACACAAAGCAGATTTTAAAAACTAGCTGTTGCCCGCAATTTCGCCTTAATGGAGTTTAAAAGTTCAATACAAACCTTCTCGCCTTGTTTTAAGTCTAACTTGCTCTTGAAATTATAAGACGTGCAAGTAAAATTAAATCTGGTTTAATTTTTTTGCGTTGTAAATGTGCTCGGTTCTACATTTTCTGTATTCTAATATTAAAATGTAATCAAACCGCATTTTTGACCGAATAATAAGATCGAGAATATGTTTCTCAACATGTTTTTAGTCAGTCTAAACGGAGTATAAACGTTCAGGTGATGATCCTGCCGACGGAGCTGAGCGTGTACTACTACCAGACGCTGGAGTGCGGGCTGCACAACTACAGCGGTGACGTCACCGCGCTCCTCGCGCTCGATGACGTCAGAGCCCGACTCACCCACAACAAATTCATAATATACATAAATAGTGTTGAAGGAATCAGGTTGGTTTGTGTTCGGAAATTTTATCAGTAACTTGCTTTAGCCCGCGATTCCGTCGGTATGGAATTAAAAAAAAACAAAAGCAAGTAGCCTATATGTTCTTCCAGACTATCGTCTACGTCTATACCAAATTTCATCGAGATCCGTTCAGAAGTTTAGGCTACAAACTAACAAACATCCATCCATCCAAACTTTCGCATTTATAATATTAGTAAGATTACATAATCAAAAGATGACAATCCAAAAAGTGAGATTTTATTTATCAATTATTCACTTTTTTTAGCATTAATGAAATTACGATTATTTTCCCCTTTTTAGGTTATTAACAACACTATACGACCCCTCTACTGGTCAAAAGATAGCAATCTTCGAGCCG